GGTTTGGGAAAAGCACAGCCCACATTGCACACATTTGCAGGGCTTCTCTTCAGTTGGGCTGTTCTGAGGCCTAGAGAAATGCCGTCTCTCAGGAAATCTTCCCCAGCGCTTCCAGGACTCCTGAGGTCTCTTTCCCTGGTGGATTCGCTGATGGGCTCCAAGGTCCGAGCCTTTAGCAAAACGCTCCCTGCACTCTCCGCATTTGTAAGGCTTCAGTCCTGGGTGGCTCCGGAGATGTTTGGCAAAGCTCCACACTCCAGGAAAGGATTTCCCACAAAGGAAACACAGGTGGGATCCATTCCATGTGTGCAGCTTCCGGTGGATCAAAAGGAGGGAACGGTAAGCAAAGGATTTCCCACAAAGGAAACACAGGTGGGATCCATTCCCCGTGTGCAGCTTCCGGTGGATCAAAAGGAGGGACCGGTAAGCAAAGGATTTCCCACACTCGGAGCATTCAAAGAGTCTCTCCTGATTCCTTCGGTTGACGCATTTCCCCTCTTGCATAGTTTCCATAGTGGCTCCCCTGCGGTTCCTTGTAACCAGAGACTATTTGCGAGCAAAACTGCAGGTTTTTCCTGGCCGCACCTGAGGACAAAAGAAAAAGAAGTGAGGACATATATTTGCTCTCCTTCAGCTCCCAAAACAGGTAGGTGACCCTTTACATGAGCTCTGGGCAGATCCCAGAGCTTCAATTTCCTCTCAAAGCAATGCTGGGATCCTCCCTGTGGAGCTGACCCGAGATCCCCTTTTCCCCTTCTTACCAAGAGGGGAGGGATGGCCGACAAAATCCCTGTTACCCCACTCCCCCAATTTGCCTAACTGAACTGGGATGATCTCTGCCTTTTCCTTTCTCTTGGTTGGGGGCAGGGGGTTAATGCAGATGAGGGACCCACTGCAAGGACACACAAATACCCCCTCGACTTGCATATGTCAGATGGCTCCGTATACCTGGACTGAATGGGACAACTCGCTGCAGTCAACACACCATAGTCAATTCCCTGTGGGGCAACGAGCCATGGCCAAATGACCCCAAGACAACTCACTGCAGGACAATTTAACTGTAATGGTAATTATGATATAATAATTGCTGCTGTAATAAGGCTGTAAATTGAGATGATGCAATGAGAATGAGGCAGCAGCGTTATCACTTTAAGAGGCTGTCTATATAAGGGAGGCCCAGAGAGGGAGCCTCCTCCCTCTCTTTCTCTTCTGTGTTAGAGTTGAAGATTAATTGATTGCCTGGTTTTGCCTAGTATGCGTATGTACGCACGCAGGCACGTACATATACATACATAAATACATACATACGTACATAAATACATATATACATAAATATAAAACCTGTGTACTGTATTTTGCTCCTGGGGTATCTCAAAATAGTAGTCACATTGTACACACTCTAACATTAATTCAATGTAATTATTTAAAATAAATAAAAAATGTTAAATATTAAAAATAAAAAATATTGAGGTGGCAAGCTGAACCGAAGTAGACCTCAAGCCTGAACCAAACTAGAGTTCCATAACATTAAGCTTGAACTGCTCAGATATAAACTGCATAGCTTGCTCTTAGGAATAAGACACGGGATATTGTGTCAGCAGAAAGGATGTCTACACTCAAAATATGCTGAAATAAGGAATCTATTTTAGTCCAACCGCCTGCTTACCCGCCAACTTGTTTATTAGACATATATCATTAGTTCCCCCAAATGCCAGATGTGCTTGTCCGTTTGCTGACCTATGTACCATGACATCCTGTGGCAATAATATTTTTGTAACACAAGGGCAAGTCCCGAGAGAGGTTCCCGAAACCAATCCAAGAAGCTTTAGCTGAGAGCTGAAGAAGCATCTTGGATAAGAAGCAACTGAGAACGGAAGAAGGATCTTGGATGAGAAGCGGGACATCTTCAGAGAAAAAACAGGAAGTGCAGTTGCCTCTTGAAAAAGAACCTTTGTGTGTTTGCAAGAAGAAACGTAACACACACACACACACACACACATCACCCTAGAATCAGCAGTAGACACACCCCGGACAAGCTCCCCTTCTAAAAATCTGCTACTGTACCCCATTTCTCTGCAGCCTGTCCCTAAAGGCAAACTCATTTTGTTTCTAGGAATAATTGTTTCTTCTTTCCTCCCAGCTGTCTGGATCTAATTTTCATTTATTCTTGGGCAACCTTGGCTCGAATTGGAACTCCAAACAAGTCTTCTGACAGATGAGAAGGGAAACGTTTTCAAAGGGAAAAAGCCGGAGAGTCCAGTTGCATTTTGGAAAAGAAGCACCTGTGGATGGGACGGACCATAAAGAGACCTTCTGGGAGCAACGTCCCCAAAGCTCCTTCCCGGATCTCCACGGGGAGCCTCGGCCGGGAGAGGGGGATCCTCCCCCTTTGCACCCCTCGAGGGAAGGGAGGGTGCCGCTCCCTGCAGGCAACGCGGATGCTGAGCCTCCTCAAAGGCGGGGATGAAGCCTTACCTGGCCGAAGCGAGGACCTAGATGCCTCCTCCGAGGGATCCAGCGCGGATCTTCAAGGGATCGTTTAAGTTCTGGGAAGGATTTGGGGAACCAGGCGAAAGAGCAGCGAAGAAGAGAGCAGCTGCGGGGGCGGGGCTTCGGGCCTCCCCTCGGGATGATTCTCCTCCTCCTCCTCCTCCAGGTAGCCACGCCCCTCGGCAATTAGCTCTTGGGCTGCCTTTCCCTCCCGTGACGATTGGCCAGAAGGGAGAAGATTGGCTCCGCCCCCGGACGTCCCTGCGGGATTTCCCTTCGGGGGCGCCTTCTTCATGCAAATGAGGCGAGGCGGAAGGAACGTTCCACTTTGAGCGTTCGAGAGGGGGGGGAAGTTGTAGTCAGAGGCTGGGGGGCTGAAAGGTGGATTCTTCCTATAAGGGGAGCTTTTACCCTGCAAAGAGAAACGTAGCTCCGATTTTTACATTTCTGCTAGAAAGTTCTGGCTGGATCGTTTGGAAAAACCTGACTTGGTTTGCCTGCTTGGAAGAGGCTCAATGCAGATAGTCCTCGATTTATAGCAATAGCACTTAGACTTATATAGCGCGTTACACTGCTTCCCAGCCCTCTCTAAGCGATTTACAGCGTCAGCCTACTGCACCCCCCGCCCCCAACAATCTGGGTCTTCATTTTACCCATCTCGGAAGGATGGAAGGCTGAGACAACCTTGATCCTGGTGAGATTCAAACTCCCGAATTGCTGGCAGTCAGCAGAAGAAGTCTGCAGTACTGTGGGAAGTTAGCACCCACCCTTCTCTTAGAAAAATGAAATATAAGAAATATTTAAAAGGCAGAATATTTTATTTCCCTGGATGAGAAACATGTTTTAGGCAGGAAACCGATTCACTCTTAGTAGCCCCCACTGTCCTCAATAGCTCACAGCAGATGTCAGCACTTGAGAGAGAAAGCGATAGTTGGCTCTATTCATAGGGAAATGCCCTCACTTAAGATCCAACAAAGGTAGGATTAGCCCTCTATCTATCTCACCACACGGGACCTGGGAAGATTACATCACCCAGCAAGGCTCAACCAAGCCTGGGACTCAGGACTGCCCTAGAGAGTTGCCCCTGCATGGCCCTATGGGAGTCTGACAACCAATCAGAATACAAGCTCAAATTCAAAAAGAGGGGGCATAAAACTCAGGCACTCTCAGCATCTCTCCCCTTTTTTCCTTCTTCACCCAACATCTTCAAGGCATGTGGTCCTGTCCACCATTAAAGCCATCTTTCCAAACAGCCTCCATGAGAGAGAAAGAGAAAGAAAGAGAAGGAGAGAAGGTAGGAAGGAGAAGAAAAAGGGTCGGAGTAGGGAAGAGGTAAGGGAAGGAAGAAGGGGACGGAGATGAGGAAGGAAGGAAGGGAGAAAAGAAAGAGAAAACGAGGTGGTGTCTTAGCAGGTGCGAAGGATGGTAAACAAAGCATTT